CCCTGAGCCAGCAGTCCCAGGGCCAAGGCAAGTGCGCCCATGGAGGCCCAAGGAACGTAGGCCATGCCCGCGGGGGAGGGGGCCTTTCTCCGGGGAAGCAGGGCCCCAGAGAAAGCCAGGGGCTGTGATGGGGAATGAGCGGAGCCCGTGCTCCCGGCCCGGTGCTGTGGCTAAAAGAGCCACTGCCAGCCTGGGGCAGAAAGGGAGCCAGCAGTCCCAGGGCCAAGGCAAGTGCGCCCATGGAGGCCCAAGGAACGTAGGCCATGCCCGCGGGGGAGGGGGCCTTTCTCCGGGGAAGCAGGGCCCCAGAGAAAGCCAGGGGCTGTGATGGGGAATGAGCGGAGCCCGTGCTCCCGGCCCGGTGCTGTGGCTAAAAGAGCCACTGCCAGCCTGGGGCAGAAAGGGGACCCGCGCGGGAGGGGAGCTTTTACGTCTGTTTCCCACTAGTGCAAACACGGCTGCAGTTCTGGAGAGCGCAAGGCAAGAAGGATGTTGCTAAATTGTAGAGGCTGAGCTGCCTCGCCGCGCCAGGCTCCACGGGCTCCCCTGTAGCCGAACGGAGAGAAAGTGACGGGTGACTTGGTGTGCCGTAGTGCGGTACCTTGCTGGTTGCTGGCTGGGGCTGTGGGTGACCCCCACTGGCTGCTGCCTGGACCACGGCCCAGGAGTAGCTGATGGGACAGGGAGGTGACCTGTTCGACTGGTTACCCCCCAGGGAGAGGAACAAAGGGAGGAAGGCGGAGGGCGGCCCCTGGCTGGGGGCAGGGCTGGAAGTTGGGCAGTTTGTCTGTATCATGGAGGCCACAGCCTAAGCAAGGGGCTGGGATTTAGGGGCCCAGGCTCCCCCATCTCAAGGGGGCTGAGGCACCCTAGGCCCTGGAACCAGATTCCATCTGTGCTGTGCTGTGTCCTGGAGAAGCCATAAACTCCCCTGTTCTACTGGCTGGGGGAGTCTGTTCGTGCCACGACGGGGGTGCAGGAGGCGGGAACCCCAATGCGCCGTCACACTTGGTCACGTCCGTAAGCACCTGTGTGGGCCGAATGTTTCACGATGGGCTTGTCAGTCTAGCAGAGACAGGCCGCGCGCCAGCACAGGCGGGGAGCTGAAGTCAGCAGGTTCAGGCTGGAAAATGAGGTGCAATTGTGAATGGTGAGAGCCATTAACCGGCGGCCTTTGCCAAGGGAGGTGCTGGACCAGGCAGGGGAAGGAGGCTGGTGCCCCGGGGCCCCGCAATGCAAGAGGCCCGGGTGCTGCTGGAGCACCATGTGGGAGGTCTCTCCGCGCGCCAGCACAGGCGGGGAGCTGAAGTCAGCAGGTTCAGGCTGGAAAATGAGGTGCAATTGTGAATGGTGAGAGCCATTAACCGGCGGCCTTTGCCAAGGGAGGTGCTGGACCAGGCAGGGGAAGGAGGCTGGTGCCCCGGGGCCCCGCAATGCAAGAGGCCCGGGT